CAATTGATGGCTGACTAAATACTTTTTTGCCCCACTGTATATTATTTCTTGTTTTGGGTTAGCTTTGAGTAATTTTGTTATGTGGTTTTCAAGAAACTGAAAAACTGCAACAAAAAATAAAAATAAAGGGTTGTTTGTCAAAACTGTGTCGAAACTCAAATATGATCAGCTCTCTGCCTTTTTTTATGTTCTAAAGGAATGGCAGGACCTTTAAAATTATTCACTTTAGGTCTTTACAGTTACATCTGTTTGAAAGCACTAATTAGATTAACTGTAATTACAGCAATTCATTATTCATGTACCAACTCAGTGTGAATTTAAAGTTTCTGTTTTTCATTCCTATATATATACTAGGTAATCAATACAGTCCATTTATGTCATCCTGCTGGCACTGTGAGAGGAAAACTGACCTGTCACCAATCTCTTGGACCTGCCAAGTGCCAACACGAAGGTGCATTGTAGGTGTTGCTCTTAAGAGAGGATCAGCTGTCAGTCACTCATCTCTGGAAATCCAAAATTTGCTCAAGACAATGTGAACCCTTGCAGAACTCAATTGGGATGAGTGATATACAGTAAAAAACCTCATGAGAGTCTGATGGGTTCAGTGCCCTTTTTGTAAAGAAGACACTCATATGGACAGTGACTTTGAGGGCATCCACATCAGTGTTATTAAATGTAAAACTCAAATATTCTAAACACCATTGAATGAGTTCCTTATATTGCTGTGGACTTTGTCATAGGACCCAGCTGGATTTTGGTCTAGCCTTCACTACATGATGAACGAAGATGCATTTGCAACATTCCATGGGGCTTCAGCAAGCACTGGCATTGAACAACATGCATCTATCTTTATTTAATTATATAACCTTTCTATGTAAATTAGTAATCTTCAACAATAAACAAAACCGTATAAATCTCCTTATAAATCTCATGCTTATTCTTGAGACCTGATCGTTAACGTCTGGCAGCCATGATGTATTATACTGAGACTGTATTTACTCACATGCCCCTGCTTTGCTTGACCCATAGGCAGCCTCACCGTTCACCTTGTGATGTAGAATGCAAATTTTCTACTGTATTGCATATGACTGTCGTGATGGTGTGAGCGTATATATGATGAAGTCAGCACTGGCAAACATGCTCTTCTCAGACAGTTATTGTGTTGCACCTCTGGCTTCTTTGAAAGTATGAGATTAATTTTGTACCAATAGCATATACAGCATTCATCAGCACTGCACATGCCCGCAGTGTTTGAAGTGTTGGTGTATTTAGATTACTGCTAATGTTACGGGTGTGGTTAAAATCATCTTGGTTAAAGTCTTTTTTTTAAGCCCAACATTTCATCTTTCTAATATGGCCATCTGGGAATGTTACAAGGTCTATCTGTTCTCCAATTGCAAATGCACTTCTGAGTTTGTCTTAATGTCACAGAGACACTGCAGTAGATTAAATATTGTGGTTATGGGGTAATGTTAATGGAGTCTCTTTAAATAAAAACGTTTTTAAGAAAAAAAATGTCTTAAGGTCTGTTTATGGTGGGTGGGCCATAGCACTAAAGGAAGTAATTTCACCTGAATATTGCATGTTCTAGCTAATAATCACCACCTTTGCTCTAAAATAACAGATAATTAAATATCTTATTTGTGTGTAGAAACAGAAACAATGCTGTTATGATCAAACCAAAGAAAATAAATTTTCGGTTGGCCACAACATATTTTAAGATTGGAGCTAATTATCCTCTCAGTCAAATGTCTGTATTATTATTCAGTCAAGGCTCATGAATATATTCTGCCTGATGGCTTCAAATATCCACACTCCACCCTGCAATAGAAATGGTGTAATGGACATGCAGTATAAAGGATTCCAGGCTAAAAGGACCAAAAATTGAGATGTAAAGGTTCAAGCTGGCAGGCAGTACCTCACTGCTTGCATAACACAATGGAACACTTGGTATTGTTCAATAACCAGTTAAACCAATCAGATTTTACTCATGGAAAATCATGAATAATAAAGGAAGCTGGTACAGACAATGAAAGGCACCAGAAAAGAGAACATGAATTATGCCTTTTCACCTTTGGTTTGACTGCTTCTATACGGTTATACTAGCATATGTATTAAATATGTAGTGTTACAAAACAATCAAGATCCCATACTTAGCACATGGTCAAATGTGTCTGGTTAACGATGATACTAAATACATCCTGTGGCTGTGCAAACACTACTGTCTGTCAGAGTTCCTCCTACCCATATGAGAACTACACTGACTGATTATACCAGATATCTCCACTTTCTTGCTATCTGGGCTCAGCCATCTCACCTGACAGCCCATCAGTTTTAATGGGCTGCTTGGGCTCAGATACCCTCAGCCGTTGGAATGCAGGGTCACCTCACTTCTGTCATGCCATGCCTCCGTGGACATGTTGTTAACAGCAGGTGGTAGGTATCAGTATAGCAGGGTGGGACTGTTGTGTTTAAATGCAGCAGAGGCACTATCTCTATTCAACAGATGCTCAGCCATTCTGAATACTCACACTCTTCGCTGAACCTTGTTTTTCTAAATATATTTCTTGTGATCTTTTTGGTCTCATTAATACTTCTAAGGTCAGAATTTAGAATTGTGAGGATCAGTGTTGGGGAAAGTTACTTTAAAAAAAGTAATGCATTACAATATTGCGTTACTCCATAAAAAAGTAACTAATTACGTTACTTAGTTACTTTTTATGGAAAGTAATGCGTTACGTTACTTTTGTGTTACTTTTTAAATCTGGACAGGGCTTGCTTGTTTGTTTTTAAAATAAAAAAGTTCTATTTTTGGCTAATATAAAAGTGTTTTCACACCAAAAGTGAAATGGATAAGTCTCAGGCTGAAGGGAAAGTAAATTTACGTCTGTATAGTAGAATGCAGAAGAAGAAATTTCAACACACTTCAGCAATAAAAAAGGCACAAATGTTTGTTTAGAGTCATTTGTGCTTATTAGTACGGTTGAACTGGATCATCGAAGGTCAGAAGCAAAGACATTGGTTAATAGAATGGGATTAAATACATAAAGGATATTTGTGTTGTTTAACATTTAATTATTGCAGGTTTGCATCATATTCTGAGTTGCATTATTTTTTATTAATTTTGAGGAATACTGAATCTGTCTTTTTTTTGTGAGTGAGATTAATTAATGCATATTTATATTTATTTTAGAACTACAGTAACATCTGATTTCTCTCAACATGGGGACAGGAGAGCTGTCAATCAATAAATTGGGGGAAAAAAGTAACTCGGATATGATCTTGCAAATTAAAAAGTAATGCGTTACTTTACTAGTTACTTGAAAAAAGTAATCTGATTACATAACTTGCATTACTTGCAATGCGTTACTACCCACAACACTGGTGAGGATACTACCATATGCACCACAGGCTTTCTGGCTGTTTTTCACTTACCTCCTCTAAAATGATTTTTTTTTTATTTTTAATTTTTTTATAAATATTAGTTTGTTCTTTTCGTTATATATATATATGTGTGTGTGTGTGTGTGTGTGTGTGTGTGCAGATAGATACATCAAAACATCCTAAAATATCATGGTTTCCACAGTAATATTAAGCAGTACGACTGTTTCCAGCATTGATAATAATAAGAAATAATAAGAATAATAAGAAATGTTTAGAATTAGAATGATTTCTGACACTGAAGAATTTTTGAGCTGAAAACTGAGCTGTCAGGTCAAGATTCATTTACGTTTTTTAAATCTAAAATCGAAAGCAGTTATTTTATAATAATATTACGGTCTTTACTGTTGTTTTGATCAAGACAGCACAAGGAGACTAGGGCCTACTTTTAAGCACGTTTAAAAAAAATCTTAACGACCTCAAATCTATATAATATACGAATTACGACGAGTATTTGGGTTTACAAAAAAATTAGATTAAAGCCACCACGCCTTTGATCGTTTGACTGAACTTCACAGTTTGTTAGCAAAGTGGGCCCCCTGTTGACCATCAAGCGACGTGCGCCACATAAACAATTTAAATATATTTAAAATATTTAAGCTCAAGCTACAGCATCATATGAGGTTCATGCATAATGACTCACAGCATTTTGCATACAGTGTTAAAGGAGTGCAAACTCATTCAATGTCATGTTTTGAAAAAGTCCCCCGGCTTCCTCACGCTCGTGTCAAATTGCTCATCCCGCAACTTCCTGTCGCTGTAATTCCTCAGTGCTAACGGAGGCTCCCTGTTTTAGCCAAGCTAGCTAACGCCACAAACAGAAAAGAACAACAATAAATGTACTTGAAATTAACGTATGATATTACGTTTCAGAATAATACAGCCGTTAAAATGTGAACGAATAGAGAGCTAATGAATTTTCTGAATCAAATCGTTTCCGTTAGATTCGTATTGTTGTATGTTATAATGCTAGCTCAGGACTTCACAGATTTGCCTAACGGCAGCTAGCGGGGAGTTTCACAGTTTTTTGTGTCGCTAAAATTAGATCGTCACCCGACAAGGCCAGATTGTCACTCAGCTGCAGAAATTAAACTTTCTCTTTTGTAGAGCGATATCGATTTGCGTTGACACCTGTTAGCTAGCGCGGCTAGCTAGCGCTCTCCTCACACTGATTCTACTGGAAATGGTGAGTGTTTCTTGTCTTCTCTGTTTAAGTTTTACCATTAAGCTTAGTTTACTAAGAAAATTATTATTGAATAACTACTGGTCCTGTTCTTGAGAATGAGTTAGCCAAAAAATAATTGTTTTATTAAGTCTCTGGCCTTCCAGCTAGCGAATTAGTTTTAGCGGGTGTGTTTGGAAACCGGAGAGCTGTATTCCAGTTACATGACAGCTTGTCAGTTTCTGTGCAGAAAGCTGTGTTAGCATGTCAGCCAAGTAATCATGGAGATCTCACGTTTTTGTCTGTGAGGCACTCTTGTCTTTTGCCGTCATGTTTTGGTTCTTCAAATAAATTAGTTCCTCTACATTCTGTTTTATACGGTTTAAAGCAATGCAGATTACATTAACATTACTCAAAAGGTTGCATAACAGTGGAAAGTGGTCGTTTTCTTTGATTGCATCCATTATGTAATTTGAAGGTGTTTTTTTTCTCGTATTGCTCTTGATGTAGCTATTGTAGTATTATGGCAAGCCGTTTTAGCATTAAATACTCCTTGCTGTACTA